ACGATGATTACTCGCTACTGGTTGGGTATTATTGTCCGTGACGCACACCTCACAAAGTGCTCCACTTCTCTGAGTCAATTCGGGTGGCTGGGTGAATGTTGATTAAATGTAGTCAATAGTTCACACAGTGGCTGTCTCCCTCACTGAGTCGTCAAATACGCTCCAGACTGGGGAAGAAAAGGAGGGGCGTTGACTTGAGTTCGTAACGCGTCCACAAGCTGGACGAAGGGTACACGATAGAAGTACACCAATCGGAAAGGAAATGTTTCAGAACGAGTTTTGCAAAACTAACAGCATATGAAAGAAATTGAAATGCGTACCTTGAAGTCGAAAGCTTCGAGTTTCAAATCAAGGCTGAGACGTTGCTTTTCGAAAAATTGTTCCGGTTTCACGATTAGCACCCGTGCCACTTTGCCATATAACACAATCTGCGTGAAAACGTTTTGTAAAGTAGTCAAAATAAACTTGACTTCCTCGCTACTTGTATGACTTTAAGAATTGTTTTCAATTGTTTGATTGCCGCGTTTCGCATATCGATGACGATCGTGAATCCGGCGCGGACGTCCTTCTCGCCGGGCACCGATGCAAGGTAACTGAGCACCGAAAGGTTGTCCTGGTATCCATAATTCGAATGGTCAGGGTGGTGAGGGATGATCAATATTGGCCGATTTTCTCGGTCCCTGGATCCTGTAATTTCAAGCTAGAATATTACCGATCACGTGAACTGGCATATCTATATATGCAAAGTGCCGAAAACTCTCATCGAAACTCTCCATCCCACTCTCGTCCAAACTCATCATTATATTTGACGGCAAAGAATGAAATACCTTCTTGATCGCGTTATAAAAATCTCGTTTGAACCAGTCGATTTTCCTAACTGTTCCTATAGGATATAGAATAAATTCATGCAGAGTGTTACCTGTGTCATTTATCTCACGGTACATGTAAAAAGCCTCACGTTAATGACAATTTCGATGCTAAAAAGGGAAACCTAATGACAAGACGGAGTAATACATCAAAGGACCGATAATCTGATCAACATCAAGCACTTTCGTACGCTGAATTATGTCAAACCGAGCATAAATTCTCAAAGACCAGGTTTTGACGCGCATTGTTCTGCCCTCTTGTTCCTAGTTGCTCATGGCGGCATTTTAGGAGAGGTCATTCCTCCACTGTATTTGAGTATTTGCAACACAAGTTGCTGCTGGCATCATTTTTCCGCCACAGACACCTCACGCTTATTTCGAACGATTAAGGAGCTGGTGCTTCTTTTATGCTAATAGATTAACATGTTGAGCATGCTGAATGGCGCATGACTCCTTCAAGACCAGATTTTACGGTGTTTTGAGGCGCTTCTTGCGGATAGTTACCTAGGGGGCTGCTTCAGCAAACTGGGGCTCCATGCTGATGGACATGAGATGGCTCTAGTAGACAAAATATTTCGAGATATATGTGGCACTACAGGTGCTCAAATACGATAATTCTTTTCCTGCTTAAATGCCGCTAAGGAACTAGGAGTAAGGGGCGAAGCAATGCACCTTGAATTTGGGCGTTGGAGGAATCATTGGCTATATAACCTCATCAGGTGCATGAACAACAGCTAACAAAGACATGGAGCACACAAAGGGAAATACAGGCAAAGAAGTTAACGGGAATAATGGCTTAAATCCAGATCGTTTGACAGATCTGTCAGATAGTCAATTATATTCAATGATAGATTATCTTACATCGATGATCATTTATGACACTACCAGTATTGACAGCATAAGTGCTTCTGCTGATTGATGGTTAATGAATCGGTTCTGTAAAACACTGACTTTTCGATGAATTCATAGCCATTGCATGAAACGTTCTTGTTTGCGTCCGTAGACAGAACATAGCTCTGATGTCCCAGGGTAAGTACCATAAATTATATCCTTTCAATTGTACCGGTAATTAAACCATTTCTAATCACAATACAGGATTTAATGGACGTAAGCTTACTGTACTATCGTTTCTAAACGCCGGGGGGGGGGCGTGTAAGCAGGCCACGGCTCCATGGTGTTTAAGCACATGCAGTGCATCGAATGCAAGACCGCTTGTCTCAATGGGACTATACAAAGGCGTATTCTGGCCCGAACTAAATTTGCCACAATCCATAATCATCTATTGGATATGAAATTCCAAAAACAGCATATTAAAACTTAACATTAAATCAGAGCAGTTGAGGCCTTTTGAGCATTACCTGGCAAAATGGCGATTTGCTTCTCCAGTACTTGGGTTAAGTGGCTAACATTCATCGCTGGTGGCTGTGTCTGCTGACGGTCGTGGTTCGCTTCTCGTCATCTACAAACGCAGATACTGTCAGAACAGTTCCTTCGGTAGCCGCGCATCGCATGGTCTTAAACACAATCGGGTGTCGTGTGCCAAAACGCCAAGGCAAGTTCGCACGTGACTGGAATCAGTCGCAAAGTTGCAAGGTTTGTTTGTGGCAGAGTAAATCAGTTCAAAGTTCAAATTTGAAGTCAAGCGATTTGTCTCTTAAAATTGACGTCGCATACGTGTTCAAACTGCACTTCAAAATTTCGCAAATTAGCAGCTTATTTACATCGTGAGATTATTATTTTAATATGCGAATAAACAAAGTCGGCAATGCACAACAAACAGCAATAACAGCCATTGATGTCGGTCAAACTCGCGTCGGTGTTATGCTTAACGAATCGCGTCTAATATCAGGCAAAATTGACTGAACAACGCGTGACGCGTAATAACGAGTCCCCGTGGCTCGTGTCATCGCTCGTTTGTCATAACGCATGAAATTTGCGCTGGTCGGCGTTCCTCGCTTCCTCGCCTACTGTTACCCTGCCGCCGGACTCGGTCGTTTGGTCGCCCACAGTGACAGGTGGGAAGATTGCGTCAGGAGCCGAGAAGGCCGCATTTTTGAGGTAGGAGGCTCGAAGCCGTGAGGAGTACCGAGCATGTTACCTCCTGCCCGGTTCGTCACCAATTACCGGACCGTCGTCCAAGTGATCAAGGTGATGTCGCGGTTCGCCGCCGACACTGCGCTGTTATACACCGTTTTCATGGGCAACAGCAAACCGGTCCGGAAAGTGTACGACGTCATTATGTGACAGCGTGTCAAAGATTCCGACGACGCAGAATCACATCCCAAACATTGCTGGCATGTTTTCGCAACATGGGCGGTATGAGCGCTCAAACGCGATGGAATAGTAATGCATCCGTCTGCAAGCGCTTCGAAGTTCGGCAGGTCAGCGCCAGCAAAGACAGTTCTGTATCTCCGCCATTATATCTTCAAATAAGGATAAGAAGAGGGACAGACCTGTCTTCGATTCCATAATCACCTGTCAGCACAAGCCTGTGCCAACTTGTACGCATTTCATGCACCTACTTGCCCTTCCTCCAATCACAGCATATCGCAGTGTGCGATTCAGCATCCTGTCAGCTCTTGACAAAGTGTCAGTTGAATCACACGGCTCAGCGGTCACAAGCCACCGGCACTTATTTACTGCCGCAATTTATTGTTATAAATATAATACAGTTAATTAATTCAGACACAATACGCAGTAATGCATGTTAGATTTGCGCTAATCATGTTGCGCTGATGTCCAGTCACCTACAAAGTGAGTCACGACGAATTGCAGCCATAAGAGACTCATACATTTTTGAGTTTAGTCGCACGATCTGGCATAGCCATAGCAGAGCAACACGTGCCACGACTGTTCACAGGTCAGCGACCTTCAGATCCCGTTTTTCAGGAAGTAATAATGAAGCAAAGTGGGATGAGTGTCTTGCTTAAAGTAGTTAGCAGTTAATAAGAAAAAATTGACGACACTCATAAATATCAGCAAATTACTTTGTCGTTGCCCCCTCGTAGCGACTTATTGTAGAGATGTAATACATGGATAAACTACGCGTATGCATTTTGCTCATAACGTTGACAGCTGGAAATGTGTTGAAAGCACAAATCCCTAAAGAGGTCACTATTTTGTACGTAAATAAATGTTTAGCGAATTTACAGTAGTCATGCAGTAATGAATATATTGACTCCTCTGTGTTGGTAGTCAACAGTTGTATAAGTGCAGCAGATTTGGCATGGTGAATATATATCGACTGAAATTACTATGTGTATCAATACCTCATTTCATATGCTGTGCATATTTAGAAAAAGAACAAAAGAAAAAGCAAAAGTAAGAATTAGGGTGACGTCGACTCACTACCCGTTTGAATGAAAATTGTTTCTTCATATCATCATTCATGGTTCAAGGGAGCAGGTTGCAAAAGATAAATTAAAGTCCTCACTTACCAAAAAATAAACTAAGGTCATGTTCATAGGACAGACAATTTCATATTGCCTTTTTAACCAATAATCAAAAATAAGGAAAGATAAAACATTTATTTGTATAGGCATGAAATTGCCATAAACAAATATGCAATCTGCACATAGTATAGAATAATTGGTGTCACCATTAAATATTTACTGAATAATTTACGTCGGCTATAATAAATTCACATGTTCCAATGAGCGAAAGTAAGGGTAGTTTGCTGTCTCAGACCCAAGAATTCCAGTACCTTGGTTCCATCTTGGTAGATAACGCAGAAATCGACAGAGACTTAAGAAATCGGTCGAAAAAAAAGCTTGACTCAAATGGAGAGAACTAATGTGCGACAAGAAAATGCCAATCAGACTGAAAGAGACGGTGTACAGAACGATAGTAAGACCGGTGCTTCTGTACACAGCAGAATGTTTGGCTACACTGAAGAGACATGACCAACAGCTGAACTCAGTAGAAATACGAATGCTCAGATGGATGCATGGTGTCAGCAGAAAGGACCACATCCCAAGCCGCTTCATAAGAGATACTCTTGGCATAGCACCAATTGCAGGAAAGCTTATCGAAAGCAGGTTCCGTTGATTCGGCCACGTGAAAAGAAGACCCACCGAGTGTGTCGAGAATGTGGTCCAAGCACTGACACTTCCGGGAAAGGAAATAAGGGGAAGAGTGAAGAAAGATGGCGCGAAGTCGTCTGCAGACAAACGTGGAGGAGGTTGCCTCTATTAGCAGACCCCTGTTAAAGGGAACATGGTAGGAAAAATAGGATATACGCTTGTGATGTGAAGCAGCCTAATTCAGACAGCGTAGTTTTAGGCCAATTCGGGGAGTCAGGCGGTTTGAGGTTATGCATGTCAGTCAGTTACTCAGTTTCGATGACCACTTATCCTTTCAGATTGCGAAAGCAGCAACTCACAGATTTTCTATAAAGTTGCTGATCCTGTACTACCGTCTGAGTTTTGGTAGAGGATATGCTAAGTCTAGAGCAGAGTTCGTGGGACGCTTACTTCATGTCATTCATTCACTCCTGGCCGTCCCGGAACTTTTGCTGGTCGACTGAAGTTATCCATGCATATTAATAACCGTGTAGCTAATATGTGGTTTTACAACTTGTAGTACTGAAACAAGAGTTCATGTAAGGACGTGCTGCAAGAACAAATTTTCTTTCTTACCAAGTGAGGCACAAGAAAAAGCAAAATTTCATGTTGATTTGCTTGGGCAAGCAACTTTCGTGAGCATGTACGAAACCAGTTCTAAAACCGGAAGTTGGTCGATGTCCTTTGACATCTTGAAACAATCATACTGCATATGTTGCCTAGATTTAGACAGCTGGAGGATAAAATGGTGATGACGCTATCACTCGATCTGACGCTCAAGAACTAATTGAATTCAGTCAGGTGAATGACATATCAATGAAAACTAGTGCAGACACAGATACGGTGAGGACTGCATGTGCTGCGCGGTCTGACACGTGACAGGTTATGAATGCAAGCTATGAGGCATAATTTTACTTTATGATATACTTTAACTGCAGTTCTCATAAACATGGAGTTTGGAACACAACCGAGACTGACTTTGAATATTATTTTAATTCATAAAGCATGTGCAAAATGGCAGATAAATCTTTTCGCGGCTTGAAACTGAGTTTTTCTGCATGAGTCAACGAGTCGGCGTTAAAGTGCATTAATATCCTCTTTGATGGGATGAATGGTGACGGATTGAACTTTAGAAAAAATGCTTCAAATCATTACGGCACTTTTAGCTGTCCCTGTGTGATGCTGGAGGGTCATCAAAGAACAAGGGACCCGCGTTCAATCAAGCGAACTGATGTTATGCAGGTAAATGAGTATCGTGGGAAAAAATTAGGCATTCCATAAGAACCGAGGGAATTTTTCAAGTTATTAATAAGTCTTAAGCAGCAGTACAACTGAAGCAAGTCAGAGGCAGATAGATCATTCGAGGTTTTCCTTGAAGGTCTGCGAGCTTATATACCACAAAGAGGAACTTTTCTCAGATTAGCGCGTCAACTCAAATACATGATTTTGCCCCAGTCTTGACGGCAAAAGACGTATATTCTTTGCATATCCGGTATTTCTTTACTAGTACCTGCAAAGACTCGTTTATCAGCAGACCTAATTTGGAATGGTCTTCGTTCTATGACAGAAACATTGGTCTCACACCATTGGGTACTCGCATGTTGTGCAACGAGCCCGATAAATTTGTACCATCACCTCTGGCCCAGAGGCGGAAATTAAGCAGCTATATGTGGCAACCGAAGGACCATGTTTGACGAGCAACTTCTGCAGCATGACTCAAAATTGACCTAGCCTTGTTTATGGGAACCAATGATAATTTCATCGTTCAAACCCCAGATATCTCAACAGATCAGAAGGTAGCTCAAAGACATGGGGTTTCGAGTCCACTATAAGACCGACAGAAGACATTGGGCAATGTCTTATTCAAAAGGTACGTGCTCACTAACTCGCAAGAGGTGTTAAATGTTATATACGAAGTCCAATGAGGAGACTGCTATAAGGCGTAAATTCGAAAGACCTACCGGAAGTTGAACATCCGGTCATCGAATGACCGGTACTCTCAAGGTCTGTGATTCCGGACAACGCTGATGAACGAGATATAGCACATTCACACCCACCTAAACCAATGAATCTGTGCTCTTTTTTGCATTGAAAATCCGGGAGAATCATTAGTCAGAGAGAATACGACACTCCGTAAAAATGCGTGCAGGAAGGAGTAGAAAAAGTGCAGAAATTAAATGCCGTGACAACCGCATCAACGAACAATAGGTCGACTGAGTGCAAGCGGAAAAGCGCCTATAAAACTCTTTCTCTTTAAGAAATATATCCTAATGATAAGGCATGACAGGTGATAACAGATTTGTGTTATCCATAAATGGCCCCTGGTCGAAAGCATCTTACGTTATACCGAACATTCCGTAGTATATTACAGATACAAGTCATTACATCAGATCATAGGGCAATACTGCACCGTCACATTGCTTCTAGCCGTCTAGAAAAACCGCTCTGGCAGGTCATGAATTTATGGCATTTGAGCACTTGCAGCACAAATAATGCTTAACCCCGTCTCAGAGTTTGACCAGACAAACCCGTGGCTATGACTGGAACAGGATGAACGCTCTCATCATTAATAAGTCATTCTTATTAATCCGAAATATTACAAAAGTAAGAAATGCGGTGCTGACTGTGCCAGTTCGCTTCACAGTTTCAAGATTCGCTATTTGCCTTCATTGTCACTGCACCGATTGGAGCGAACGTAGTTAGCCGCGCCTAGTTGTGACAGCCTGCCCTGATTTGGTCGTATCCGCTCATCTGACCTGGACGCCGAATTTGACGCAGAGCTATGTGACGTTATGGTGTCTAAACTTACCTCCCTCTGCGGTCCTCTTTAAACTATACAATGGAAACGATTAAAAATTCAAAATTCACACTGTTCATATAAAATTCAATCTCGAATTAAATTCGTCATTCATCGCTTACATTGAGTAACGACTTCAACGAAGAACTACTGACCATCACAGATATTTGATATCGAACAGATGTGGATGCGGATCCTTATATTTCGGCGGTTTCCATGATCAGAAAACGGAATCCGTAATCAACGCTCCACGTCGGAAATAGAAGAACGAATGAACAGCCAGGGACAGCAGCAGAGCGACCACTGAGCTATGCTGGTGTGCCATGCAAGAACGAATGGCCGAAGGGGGAAGGACGAGAAGAAGGTGGGAGGGATTAAAGAGATCGGTTTTTTGGCGTCGTCGGTGGAGCACTTCAGCGATCAAGCTCGCGCTGACAAATGCCACACTTGTCCAAAGCAATTACCGCCCATTCCGGTTAATGATTGGCTGTACAGTACGTAGTCGTAGTCGTAGGTAGTCGTGTCCTTGCCGATCGCACGCCGATAGCAGGTATTCCGGTTTTTGACGTGGTCGCCGGCTAAATGTTCGGAAAGCAAACGAAATCCCTAAATCCATTAACGAGCAGCATACTTCTTTGATTGGTCCATGAGTCATCGGTGAGGTGTTTGCCGCCGGTAGCAGGGCTCGACTTGAAAGAAACTGCATCAGCGACGAGTCGAGGTGACACCTCGAAACGGATGCATGAGTTTCGCGTTCTGCGTTGTGCTTTGCTTCACCGATTATCAAAAGAATTACGCGATGAGGCACTCCAGACTACTTCACTTGAAGCACACGTCTCACATGTGTCCGCAACTGGCTCGCTAGCGAATCATCTGGATCATCACAAAAACGTACATAACTTCATCGACCAAGCACGAGCATGGTTTCACAGCGGTATAATAATAATAATAATCGATATGTGACGTTTTCAGAGATCTCCCACATTATTAACACACAGAAATAAACAAGGTCAGCAAGTAAGCAAGATTTCTGAGCTTGTTTAAAGTTCGCCGCAGGTGAAATCAGATCGGATCGAAAGAAACGTTCTGACAAACGCGAATACATGTTCAGTTCTAGAAATATCGATACATGAAGGAGTGGTCGATTACCGTTTCATATTTCGAGATTTACGCTTTCCGAAAAATTGCGGAAACAAAAGTGCTATTCAAAACTGCAAGTGCCATTTTCAACCTAACGGCCGGCTCTCTTTAAGATCTTTCTTCTACTTTGTATTGGACTTGTTTTTGTCCAGCTGACGCTACAGACCGTATCGACGTTTCGCCATTCTTCTCGCTGTTGGACCTTTGCTTTAACTGCTGACCAAACAGCTTCATCATTGGGTCATTCCAGCGTGTTTGTGAACGATCGAGTGGAAGTCTGTTGCGGAGGGAATGAGGATAGTAACTCGGGATGCCAACCTGTTGTCCTTCAGACGACCCGTATGACCAGTGTCTCTTTTCTTCCAGTTGTAAGCCGCAGTGAGTGTTTTTAAGAATCATATTCACACTGTCTCGACAGGTGACCCTGCATATTCTTCCCTCAATTACCCTTTGCCTTCTGTTAGTTTTTTTCCTCAGTTTTGGAGGTACAACAACTTTCGCCGACATAAACCATGTCGGATAGGACGCCGGGTCGAACAGTTCTTTCTTCATGCCCATGGGCAGTTCGTTATCCGTTTGATGTGATTAAAACTTGTCCATATCGTCTACCTTTTTCTGCTGATCTCGTCGTTCATATTGTTCTAGGAGTCTACTAGATGACCGAGGTATACGTAGCTAGCGAGTTTTTCCACCACTTCGATATGTATGAAGATGGTACCCGCGGGGCAATGCTTGTTGAGCATCCATTTCGATATTTAGAGATATTCATCTCCAGACCAGTAGTGCATGACTCTTTCCGCAACCGCACAAGCTTCGCATGAAGTTCCTTCGGGTCTTACACAAAGTAGTTGACTGAGCAGTTCTCCGAGCCGTCGCCCCAGTTCAGAGGTTAAAGAGGGTTTTTAACGCCGCCTACAAGAAATGGTGACTCCTCGGGGCACTCACTCCTCTTTCGGTGCTGATTCGACACGGCTCGGATGGAGCAGCTTGATGTCGGTTACAGTATCAGTATTCAGTTCCTCGATCAGGTGAACGTGGACTGGACTGATGTTGAGGTTCTACAAAGCGGTTAGTACAGCGTTCAGTCCGATACAATCGAAAGCATTACTGAATTCGACGAATGCGTAGCAGTGAGGGGAATTTGCACTACACGTGCATTTTTCTCTTGACTGATTTACGATGTGGAAGTGGTCTACCGATGAAAACCCCTTACTTTACTAGGTTTAGCAGCTCCAGGTCTTTCTGGATACGGTATAAAGATAATTCTTTGTTTGCTTCTGACAGTAGAGTCATGGTCCAAGAGTTAATAAGGTCTTCCGCGTCATATTTCTTGCATAGACGACTCGTCGAAGAGCTATTCCATGTTTCCGGCGTCTTCTTCAACCTCATGTATTCTGTAAATAGTTCGGCAACGGCTCTGAACAGGATCACTCCTCCTGACCTGAGATGCTACGGCCTTATGATACCCCCGCAAGAACATCTTCGCTACCGCATGTATTCATGAATGCCCATTCCGCTCTGCCCAACGTGACATCAGGAATAGCTTCAGGGTAAACTTGCGGCTGCTTCCGGTGTACCTCAACTTTGGAGGAGTAGACATTGTTGTGAAACCTAGTGCAGGTCACTTTAATGCAATGGTAGTCTTTGATTCTTCTACCTCCTTCGTCCGCTAGGGCTATCCGAATGAGATTTTTCATAAGGAAATTCTTTTCTGTAACTTTATAATCATTCGTTTTCACGGCGGCCTCTATTAGCTTTGATCTACTGTACTTGTCACAGTCCTCCCGAATCTTTTCCCGTATTGTACTCTTCGTCCAGTTGCCCATCAGCCTTCATTTTCCTCTTCTGGTCAACGGGTGCCTCGTTTCAAGGTTGGTGCATTGTTTGCTCATCGATATTATCACTCGCCTCCATAACCGATTGATGGTTTTTATCATACTCATGAGGTGTGGAAATCTGCATCGATGCCTCTACTGATGTCCTGTCCAATGCAAGGTCCACTTTCAGGATCAAACATTAAATCGAATCGAATATATGACACACACGCACACACAAAAACACACACACACATACACACACAAACACACATACACACGTGTTATTATCCCTTTCTGTCCAGCAGCATAGAGTCAACTTGGTTAAAGGTCGTTCCATCAGGGCAATTTTAAATTCTCTACCTCATCTGGGCTGTTTCAAGCAAAATCTTCATGATGTGGAGGCGGCTGCCTTCAGCAACCTCCACTTCCAAACCGGCCGATATAACGCTCTGTCTCGGTTGCTTTCTTTCTTACTGTGGCATTGAGATCTACTTGGAGGATAGTGTACCTGGACGTTTTTCGTAGTACTCTTTTCAGTTTCTCTTCCTCGTTCGCTTGTTGTATTATTGTGCTGCAAACATAGATTATATATCATAATCTTGTCTTGCCCATCCATCGATTGGTATCATGAAGTGTCGTAGCTGACTACGAGTGATGCAGCCCTCTTCTTACGTTGAATCCTACCCCGTCTGTCC